TTTCTTTTGATTACTGAGTGCTTTGGTGCCCCCTTAAATTTTACACCTCAGGGAACTGCCCCAGTCCTTCACCCTTGTGCTGAGGTCTTGGCTCCCTAATCTTCCATCCAGTTGGTTGTACTTCAGTCCAAACATTTGGCCCTTGTTCTGTATGGTGGAGAAAGAGAGCCTACAAGATTCATTGCCTTCTTGTAATAACTCTATATACTTGAAGGTAGTAATCAAGTTGTCCATTGGCTCCCTTTTCCCTCTACTAAATTGCCCTAACTCAGCTCTTCCTTTGGGTGCCCCAGCTTCCTGAAAGAACCAACTAATTTTCAACCTGGTTGCTGATTTCTGAGCTTTTTAATTGTGAGAAACAAACAATACACTGACCAAAGAATATCCAGTGTCATTTTATATATTGTGACTTTCAGTGCATTTCTAGTAGTTTTTCCCCCACTGAGCACTACAGGATATTGTTGTAGTCTATTGTGGGGCTTTTATTATCTGGATCCTCCTTCCCAAATGCCTTTCTTATAGCCTGAGAATGTAATAAACACTATAGGGAGGGAAACTAAGAGCAGGTGATTTCTCAGAGCCTCCCAGCCATACCTGAGCTATCCCAGACCACTTTGAAGCACGGTGGCTTGGGGTCTCCGAGCACTGTTTTTACTTTTCTAGGTGGAGGAAAGTTGGCCATGGTTCAAATCCTGCCATTTGGAATTAGAAAGTACATCTAGTGACCCAATATCTTAGATATTTGCCTTATTGGGATTTTTTTTTTTTTTTTAAGAAACACTGCCATTTGTTGAACACCAACTACTGTTAACTTACGCTTATCATCACCCCCACTTAAGAGGTGAGAAACAGGGTAATAAGCATTTAAGCAACTTGCTCAGAATCCCATGGCTGGTGAGGAGGCAGCTGGGATATGAAGCAGGCTATCTGGCTTCAGAGTTTCTGGGCACATTTAATCACTGTTCTATTCCGCCTCTTGGACACCATCAAGTAGGGCAATTGGGGTTAATCCTTGTAACAGCTCCACATGCCAGATATTATACCGTTTCCACTTAGTGAAATGGAGACTCCAGAAAGTAAAATAACTTGACCAAGCTTAATTCTTCTTTAGCTAAGCATGGGCATACCGGGCTGTAGGACCAGGTACAAGTATGCGAACCAGAAAGAAACAAGAAATGGATTTCTTTTTTATCAGATCTTAAGGGGCAAACTCAGTTTAGGTGAGAAAGATCAAAGAGTTTATTGAACGATGGTATCCCCCTACATCTCCAGTATATATCAAGCAGGTGAGCCGAAACGTAAACTCTGCTAGCCCAGAAAGAGCCAGCTTCATTTTATGAATAATGATGTGAGTGCTGATTTCATCTAATACATTTCAGTTCAGCCTGGCAGCCTCAGGAACTACAGAGGCCACACAGCCCTTCACTGAGGCCTGATTTCTGGAGGAAGCCAGTTCATGCTCAGGGAGGCCAGCGCTCCCGCCCTTCAGTTGGCACACTTAACCCAAGCCGACAGAGCCCCCGCGTGCCTCTGGAGGACGGTGCTTCCTATCACTCACCACTCTGCATTTTTGTTCATGGTGTCTGGGTTTAGATGAATGAGATTTACATAGTTTTAATAAATATTAATAACCATTTTAATCTCAGTAAACCTTTCATATGAGACATGCAAATCACTTCCCAGCTATCTTAGGTGCCCAATGACTGAAGTAATCATTTTGCAAAGCTCTGCCAACTCTTCCAGGCCCTTCGGGCCCCATTTAGGCTGGGTCTGTGTGACAGGGAACATGTTCCAGGAGAAAACAAAGAAGTACTTAGGATGGGCATGCAGGCAGACCACACCCACTGGTCCATTTTCATTTTCAGGTATTGTACTCCTGTCTCTATCTTTATCTATCTACCATCTGTGCTCAATTATTTTTGTAGGGGGGTGTTTTATAATATTAATAATAACACTAGAAGTTAATATTTATTAGGTGCTTACCATGTGCCAAACAATGAGTTGTGTTCCTTAAGTGCATTTTTTCATTCGATCCTCCCAACTGCACTATTAGATAGACATCACTACCATCCCCACCTTAACAGATGAGAAAACTGAGTCTCAGAGAGGTTGCTGGTCACAGGTCATATAACCAGGAAAGCACATGACAGTACCTGGGTTCAAACTGAGGTTTGTTTCCTTCTAATGATCTTTGGCTGTCAATGGGATAACCTGATCATTTACCTTCTTGTTGAAACCAAAATATTTGGAACAAATAGTAGTGTATAGTTTGAAAAAAAAAAAAATGCCTCAAGTAGACTCAGCCTGTGTGGGGTGGGGGTGAGGGTAGGAGGAAGAGAGAAAGAGAGAGAGATTACTTGAAAAAGCCTAGTGAGTTAGGCAGCTATAAAGTGAATTTTAAAATCCCTTTCCATCCATCCATAGGATCAGGCTGAATGAGCTTTACATTCATGAGCCATTAGAGCTGAGGTGTTTCAGGGATTGCCTAGCTTGAGCTTCTTATTTTACACTTGAGGAAACTAAGGAACAGAGGACGGTAACTCATTCAAGGTTAACATAATCATAAACATTTGGATTATTCTCTCGGAGCTTCGCTTCTTCTTACTATTACTCTTTGTTATTACTTCTTAATACATTTGAGATACAGTCGGACCAAATGCTAATACAAGATAAGATATTTTGCGATGATGTATTTTTTTATGTGTAAATCACTACTTAGTGTCTTAGCAGATGGAAGTTCTAGAACACTTAAAACAATTAAGCACAAATGAAGTCAGTATGATTATTCTCCAGAATCATCAAAATTGTCCTGTTCCAAAATCCAAAATGTGAGCATGCCATTCTCAAAAGGCCGGCTGTTTTCTCAGGTATAAGACTGATGCCCTGTGTTGATGATGCGTGTGTCTCAGAAGGAATTCTCCTGTGCTCGATGGGAGTTAGCCCTTTGTATATTTGCACACTGCAGGACAGTGGATTGTGCGATGGGCTCTTTGCTGGCAGGGACCTTGTTTTAACAGAGCAGAAACGTGGAAATGCATCCTGGCCCTGGGGCAGAGCTGACCAAGCTCTAGACTGATAGTGTTAAAACCCTGAAATACCTCTTCAGGATTAAGTTGCCCGATCCCAATTTACCAACCAGAAAATAGCCAGTGGTTCTAAGGTGTCTTAAAATATTATCATTTTTAAGAGGAGGAGGAATGATATGAAGTAATAAAGGGCCACCCTAGAAATTCCTTTTAATTATACTGGGGAAGAAATCTTTGATATATTTTTAAAGTTAAACCCGTGTCTCCCCAGGGACTGTAAACATTTCCATGATGATACTTCTGTGAAGACCAAAGTCACAGGTGAAGTTTTGGAGATTGATTCATGTATTCTTTCTCATTCAGATTTATTGGATATTGTGCCATGTGCCAAAGAGATAAACATGAAAGTGACAGTCTCCTGCCCTCAAAGAACTTGCAGTCTTGGGAGGAAGCCTAACAAACAGTACACAAGTAAACGCACAATTACAGTGAAGTCAAGTTAAGACAACTCTCTCAAGTCAGACTACCAGAGCTCCATGCCCATTCCATATTTCACTAGTTATGTGATACTGAGTGAGTTACTTAATTTCTGAAAATCTTGTGTCATCAAATGTGACATAAGGATAATAATAATGTCTTTCATGAAAAGGTCTCATTGGGTAAATGAGACAATATATATAAATGCTCAGTAGATCATATGGTATACATATCCCAAAATAATAGCTGTAATAGCAATGGTTCTTACACTCCTATTGCAAATGCTTTAGTGGAAATAATGAACAAAGAAAGGGCACCTAACTGAGAAGGGTTGGGGGGAAGGAAAGATGAAAACTATACAGAGAAGCAGCATGAAGAGGAGTATGAATCAGTAGGCCGACTGTCCAGGGTGGTTGGAATTGGGATAAGAAGTGGCTGGTCTCTCCTTTTGGTGCCTGATGTGGTAGGTCCAAAGGCTTGGAGGCATGGAAAAACCTCAGTTACTCAAGGCAAGGCATATACTTGCTTCCAGCTGGACCAGAGAGCAGCAAGGGCAAAAGGGGACACACAGCAGGAGTTGTACAAGGTGCATCATAAAGGGCCTTACTTTACTTTGAAGGCCTTGCAGATCACTGAAGAACTTCAATCAGCAGAGTGACATCACAGAATTTTGGAAGGGTCACTCCAGCTATGATGTAGACCATCAGAAGAGAGTAGATCAGAGGCAGAAATTCAAGTGAGAAATGATAAGAATCTAAACCAAGGCAATAACACCAGGAGCAAAGAGGGGACGAGATGTGAGAGGTTCTTAAGAAGAAAGGGGTGGAACTTGGCAATTAATTGGATGTGAAGAGCAAAGGCTGGAAGCAGTTCATGATGACACTCAGATTTCCGGCTGGAGAGACTGGATAGATGGAAAGGTGGATATAATGCGGAAGATGGTGTGTTCAGTTTGGGACATGTTGAGTTTGCAGTTCTTTATAGGATTTTCAGGGAGAGATGCATTTCTGGCACTCAGAAGAAATATAGGGTATTAAAGTCATGGAGAGGATCCAAGAAATTATTTATGTGTTGAAAACACTTGATTTAAAGCCATCTACTGAATCCATTTTTGTTGTTTTGGTTGTTAAAGATGAGAACACGAAAGACAAAATATATGGTTCTTCTAGAAGACCAGCTTTCAACTTTATTAAAATAAATGACCCACTCTGATGACTAGAATAATGATTTCTAAGGTGTCTTACAATTCTAACACTATGATTCTATTGTTCCAAACCACCGCCGTGAATCTGGAATTGCCTTTTGATGATGGTAATCTTGTGGCCTTAAACTTTCCTTTCTGTCTGGGTGGACTATATATATATATATATATAAAATGAAAGCCCACTCTTCACACATTTTTTGCATTTTTAAAAAATGAAAACCATACAGCCCCAAACATGCAGTGAAGACGCTTATGAAAAAGAAAAACCAAGTAAAGACACTATCTACATTTACCTACTCTGATCCCAATTGGCTGCAAACAGCAGAAGAATCTTCCTGCCGTAGTGATCACGGTTTTCCAGGACTCCAGGAAAGCCGTCGATGAGAGCCCTCTTAATGCCGGGATCATCAGCCTTGAAGTTTTTGAACATGTCCAGGTTCAGCTGGCGGTACTGAAAGTACTGGGCCAGGAGTCGGAAGGCATCTGCTTGGTGAAACTTCCTGGCTCGGAGAAATCTCAGGATGAAGGCATCATCTGTACGTAAAAACCCAATGTCAGGCCTGGTGATGATCATGTCCCTGACTTGCTGGATATCCTGATGTAAGACATCTGGGTTTTCATTCAGTTCCAGGCGAGCTTTCTCTATAGTCTCTGGACTGAGTCCGGCCTGTAAATGGGTCATCTTGCCTGAATCTCCTTTCCACGTGCTTAATTTCTGATATTTTGGAAGAAGGGAGACTGGTCCCATTCACCTGACGGTCTGCCGAAATCGGGGCCCATTCAACAGTTTTGTTACTACCAAGCTGCCACAGAAACAAACAAATAGAAAGTCTTCTTTCTGTTCTTGGAAAGCAGTAGGACATTCAGGTCTTAGGTGGTGGTGGCCATCCAAAAAAGAAGCAAAGCTGAGACCATTTCTTACTGCAAAACAAATGCACACAGGAGAGACAAAACAGTGATGATACAACATCTCGGCAAATTAACTGGAACTGAGATAGAAAAGCAGTATTGTGCTGTGGGTTTGAGTAGATGAGGTCTCCGAAGAATAAAGGGTAAATTATCTTTAAAATGGTGAACTTGGTAGAATTTCAGTGTTGACGTCCTGAAAGAATCAAATACTTGAAATATGTTTGGGAACGTTTTAGTCACACTGATCATGTTAACATAATAGTGTATGGTCAGATTAGTAATAGGTCGCTCTTTCATTGATTACTCTAAGAAATGCTAAGAAGAGAGAAAGAGGCTTCTCTGCTGCAGCATGCTTTATGGGGCTATTCACAGGCCTAGAAATTATGGCTGCTGTACAATTTATTGCTCCCATTAGCCTCTTTTCTCAAACAGAAGTACCTTTCACAGAAATACCCCCTCCCCCCACCTTTTTAAAAGGCAGTCATTTGCATCTTAACAATACAAAGGGACTGTTACAGGTCACTCTATCTGTAACCCCACAGGTACCAAATTACTCAAAACTGAACTAACAATGGCCTAGGGAAGGGGGAGGGTGGTAGCCTTTTGGCTGGAAACCTGACCTTCGGTAATCAAATTCAACAGCAATGAGAAAGGACACTCACGTGTGGACATTACAAAGCAGCTTTCTTATTTGCCTTTGTTACTCTTCTGTAGGCAAGGCAAAGGGACTTGAAACCCCGGGTGCATCCTTGCTGACCCAATATCTACACAGGCTTAAAAAATCCTCCCATTTTTTATAACTTTCCTGTTGTTCTGAGATATCATTTTGCTTATGATAATGATTGTTTGAATCTCCTCAGATACATCTCTTATGGCTTCTACACCAAAATGGTATACAGAGGAACACCCGTATTATTTGCACCTTTCTCATTTTCAATATAAATGCTCTCAGACATCTGTTTGGTCTAACCCAGAAGTTGAAAAAATCAGAAGTCATACTAGGCTTCTTGAACTTGAAGGCATATGTTTTTTTCCTAGGTTTACAGTGTTTACAATGAGGGGCAGAATATTTATTCCCAAACTTATTATTATTGGTACTGTTTTATCATACAAAATAATTTAAAAGACAAAATTATTCTTCTGCTTAATTTAGAACTACCAGTTAGTTCTTAAGGGAGACCATCAACTCACACATTTCTGCTTTATACTGTGACATGGGGGAGATGAAGAACAGTTCAAGTAACTGGTATTCATCTTCAAGATAATGAAATAATAGAAATTTTGTGTATAAAATGTTGGCGTTGTAAAATAATTTGTAAGAAAACAGCATTTAGCTCTGTAACATGTGAAAATGAGAACTAAAATAAAGTCTTGATTTTCACTAATTTTAAGGACTTAGAATGGTAAATGGAAAACAATGCTATGAACTATTCCCAGGATTGGAAGAAACTTCCAAATCCATCCAGCTCGATGTTCATCTGATGTTAAAATTCCCTATCTAGTAGCCTTACCACACCCCTTCAGAAAAGTTCTCGAGTTTGATGTCTCCTCTTCCAGTTCATCCCTACACCCACAGCAGTACGTCCTTACTGCTCCCACCAACCACTTGAGCAGGATGATCATATAATTTACCATCCAAATTTAGACACGAGGGGGCACTTAGAATAATAATAATGCTAGGGGCGCCTGGGTGGCTCAGTTGGTTGGGCGACTGCCTTCGGCTTAGGTCATGATCCTGGAGTCCCGAGATCGAGTCCCGCATCGGGCTTCCCGCTCAGCGGGGAGTCTGCTTCTCCCTCTGACCCTCTTCCCTCTCGTGCTATCTCTCATTCTCTCTCTCTCTCAAACAAATAAATAAAATCTTTAAAAAAAAATAATAATGCTAGAACAATAGCCATAAACTGAGATAAATCTAAGCAAACCCAGACAGATGGTCACCCTACTAGTGAATGATCTTTTTGTTCCTACATCCAAGAGACAAATGTCAGTACTCTTTATGAGTGAACTCTTTCAGTATTTGATATTGATGACTTCATCCTTCTTAAAACTCTCTCCACCATTCTCCCACTCATTTTCTCTGACTCCAGACTCCCTGATTTTTCTCTTAGCCTTGTCGACTCCTGTTCTGTCTTCTCTTCCTGTGAACACTTCAGTGTAGTGTTTCCAGGACCTGCCCCGTGGTTTGACCACCTACATGTAATATAACTTCTGTGTATAGCTCTCTCCTGGTCTCCAGGCTACACATTCAACCACCTTCTCAACAGCCCCACAGAGATGTCCTCTAGACACCACAAACTCAATGTGCTTAAACCTGAACAAATCCTAGTTCCTCATCCTGTATTCGCTCCTCCACCTGCATCCCTTAGTGACTGACGTCATCTGCTGTGCCGTTTCCCACTCTAGAAACCTGGGAGTCTACTCTTATTCCACTCTCTCCATTATCACCCACATCCAGACAATTACTTCCATAATATTTCTTAAATCTACCCATTTTTTTCCATCCATTTCCACTGTCTTTGTTTGGGTCACATCAGTCTTTGTCCATTTAGCCCTGCATTATCCTCCCTATGGTGCCCTTGCTGCCAACTTTGCCCTTCTCCAGTCCATTCTCTGGATTCTAATGGAAATCTGCTCATGTCATTCCTTGACTGACATTGACCAATAGCTGCCAGTTGTCCCAGGATAAAGTATAAAACTATGTAATAAGGTTTCCAAGACTCGTCATCATCTGGTCTTTATCTCTCTCCAGATTCACCTCCTGGCCATGCAGCTACACTGAGCCACATGAAGTTTCTCCTCACCTCCTTGACAAAGCATGACCTCTGATGAACTCCTCTTCACCCTTCAGGAGTCATCTGGACACCATTTTCTCTAGGAAACCCTCACGACCTTCCCAGGTCACTGGCAGTCCCATAGCCCCAACCACATCATTTCATTACCATCTCCCTCTCTCCCTCTTTACTCTGAACTCCTTGCAGGGAAGAGCTGGATCCCACTCATCTGTGTATCCCCAATACAGTGCCTGGCACAAAAAGTGTCAGCCCATGAGTGGAGCAACTTTGCTTTGTTCACAATCTATCCTCAGTGCCTAGAACATTTTCTACCACAGAATGGGTGCCCAATAAGTATAAAGAGAGTAAGTGAATAAAGAAAGTAGTCAAAACATTGTTTCAATGAGTGAGTGGTTTCCCCTTCTGTTGGGTGCCTCAGGAACCATTTTCCTTAAATGATAGCATTGCAGCTGACTTTTAATTTCCCAGGAGAATTTAGCCTAGGCACATTGTACTTCAGATCATTGCCTCCCTGAAGCATGTTGGGTGATATTCACAGTTCCTAGCCATGGCACAGGATGCTTAGAGCACAAGTCATAACAACAGCTTGTCCCCTTCAGAAGATTTAAAGGTTCTGGGAGCAAGTTACACATGTTACAGTTCGGGGAACTCCACAATGTTTCTGAGATAAATTACTATGGGTTCAAGGGGAGAGCTGAGATTGCATTTTTCATGACCCACCTCCACACATAGCTATGTTTCCAATCTATAATATCTAAATAAATTTGCTTCAGTTTCCACCTTTATTCTGTCCTCAGCATACAGTAGAAGCTTCTGGGGAGAATACCCAAGCCAGGGTCACTTAGGATGAAATAGATATTTTCCATTAAAGGCAAATGCTTTACTTCAGAACTCTGAATAATCTGCTATTTAAATAACAACTTTGATAATATTTAAGGCTAAAAATGCTATGCCATTCAAGAATGTTCTCCAGGATGTAGTGTTTTTACTTGACTGTCATTTTTTATTCATGTGAAGGACTTGGTTCTCAATCAACTTTTCTGAATTGGTCAAATAAGTATGAAAAGATACATTGGACTTGGTATCACATGAAGAAGTAGGAGTGGTTTTCTGTCCTAGTGGAATGAATAATAATAATAGCTTTATTTTATTATTTACTATAAGTATATTTATTATGTCCCAGACACTTACATACTCTCTATTTATATATTACATTATTTGATCTTTAGAACAACATAAAATGAGTGTATTATTGTCCCCATTTTTTAGATGAGGAAACAGAGGCATAGAGAGGTTAAATGAGTTTCCCAAGGTTACACAGCTACTAATCAGCAGAAATTGGATTCAAGACCAAGTAATCTTTCTCTAGTCCCATGCTCTTTTCTACTGTGCTGTTCTGCCTCCTAGGAGCAGCAAAAGGGTTCTAATATTTATTACCTAAGAGCTATGTGACCTTCAGCAAGTCACCTTTCCTCTCAGAACTTTACTGTCCTTTACTAAAATTCCTTCTAGATTTACCATTCCATAAACCTCACAGACTGTTCACAGACATTCTTAGGTAGCTTAATGCCATACCTTAAGGATGACCCGTCTTGTCCTTGTTTCTTTTTTTTTTTTTAAGATTCCATTTATTTATTTGACAGAGAGAGACACAGCAAGAGAGGGAATACAAGCAGGGGGGTGGGAGAGGGAGAAGCAGGGTTCCTGCTGAGCAGGGAGCCCCATCTGGGGATGCAGGGCTCGATCCCAGGACCCTGGGATCATGACCTGAGTGGAAGGCAGACGCTTACCCGACTGAGCCACCCAGGCGCCCCTTGTCCTTGCTTCTTCATCGGAAGAGGACTGAAGCTATTTAAAAATCTGGCTGTCTATGTCTTTTCCAGCTATCACAAATGTTTGCTCTTCCTTTGTGTATTTTCCTTTGGCTAAAATGCCAGATCAAAGATCCTGCCATTCTATTTGAAAGATTGACACTTTGCCATGCCTAGCAGAGTGCCAAGCATGATCTGGGCACTGAAATGTGCTTGATAATCAAAAAGGGCACTTCAGGCACATTCATATGAGGCTCAGAAACCACCTTTTCCATTGCTGTTTGGGTCCCAAATGATTATTTAGACATTGTTACAAATACATGGAGAGTAACTTACCACACCCTCTGGGGTGCCCAAGGTAGAAGCTAACTTCTACTTCTAATGCATGCTTTTTCTCATGAACTAGAAA